CCTCTAACCCTAACTTCCTTCAAAGGACTCTAAATCAATCACAGAAAGGGAGAAAGGAGAAGTGACACTTCAATTAACTCAAAATCAGAGGTTCGTCATACATTACCTGATTTCAGTTTCGAAAGATTTGATGTAAAGATCCTCAGTTGTTACCGCAGTTCACGCACAGGAAACGCACAATAAAGCTTTTCGCAGAAGTTTTGCAGGGAAAGAAATGCAAGTAAACCTCCATTTGCAGAAAAAATGTTTATTTATACTTCTGGGCAAAATTAGATCTCAACGGCTGAGATTCATTTAATCTTACGGTTCCTATTCGCACCGTTTAGGATTCGACGGCCAACCCCAAATGGTACCATTTTGAATTCGACGGTTCGTTTTTTAATTTTTGCCCGTTTAGCTGTAGCAGTTATCTTTTTACGGGCACATTTATTGCGCATGTCATTCCAAGGACAACTGTCACACCTATGTCAGTATTTTTACACGGGCCCATTTACGCCCATTTCAACACCTTTGTTCACTTTTTATACATTCTCAATTTTGCAAGTGTTTCACCTCGGCTTCGACCACAATAATCATGCATTACATTTCACATCGGCTTCGGTTACAGTGACCCAGTATCACACATTTTATTTCGGCTACGGCCATTATGACTCCGGTCATTATATTTTATTACAGCTCCGGCCATTATGACTCCAGTCATCATATTTTAAGCCCAGCTCAGCACTTCTGCTTACTTTTACAATTACACTTTTTGACGGGCAAAGTGTTTTACTTCGGTTTCGGCCACAGAGACATGTTCCACTTCGGTCCTAGTCACTGCGACCACATGTCACATACTCTACCTCGGCTCCGGCCCTTATGACTCCGGTCATCATATTTTGTTACGGCTCTGGCCATTATGACTCCGGTCATCATTTTCCATCACGGCCTTCGCCTTTATAACTCCAGTTATCATTTTTTATCATGACCTTGGCTCCATTATAACTTCAGTCATCATCTTTTACATCATAACTCCGGTCATTATTTTCACCACGACCACGGCCATGATCGCTCCGGTCATATTCCATTTAAGGCACTATTACGTATTTCATTATTAGCTACGACTATGTCTAAATTTAAATTACAGCTTTCTTCCTTATACTTCCATGACTTATTCGTAATTTCTTTGTTCATGCACTCCCCTCATTATCCCCAGCAACATCATTCACAAGTGAATGACTTTGGGGGGGGGAATAGTGTAAGGACAGGTCCGAGGTGCCAAGCCTCGAACTGCTACAATAATTCCTTTATGACCGAAGTGAGAAATGAATCCAAAGCTTCCTGCTCAAATAGCTGCATGACAATGACAATAAGCATGCCCGCACCTGATTCCTTATGACGAGTGGCACAACAAGTATGGTGGACATCCGTGCATCTGAATACCTGTCAAATTCCCGGTCCCGAAATAATCGTCTGGATAGACACGTCAGGCTCTGATTATCCTGCTAAGCAAGTCACGTGGATACCTCACAAAGGCCTATAAATACCCCCAGAGGCCACCTCAGAAAGGTAATTGAAACCAACCCTAAGCTCTTTTCATCTCCGCTCTAAAGGTAGCCTCGATTATTGCTGACTTAAGCATCGGAGTGTCTACCCCGAGTTCCACCTCGGGGCTTTGCAGGTTTTCCAGAAGTGCAAGCGCGAACTGAAGAAGGACTTCTTATTTGGTGCAATTACACCTCTTATATTTAACAATAGACTTGATAACTTTTCACTCAACAGAGCGAGTCGCCAGCAACCTGTTCACCGGAATAATGACCACGAAAGCCAAACCCCTCGAAACTTCTTGTGCTTTTCTTTTTCTTTTTTTTAGCAGGTACAATTTAGAGTCGAGTGATGGGATTTTAACACGCCAGTACTATAGCTCAAACTTTAATTATTACCAATACCTTACCAAGTTCAGTTAAAAAAAAAAAAAAAAACCTTACCAACTGTTCTATAAGACCTGCTGCGATACCTTTTCCT